ACTTTTTTCAAAGGAAGATGACAAAATAGAAATAACTAAATATGTATATTAAGAAAGAAACTGGAATGGCTATTGCCAAAAGACAAAAAAACTAGAGATCCTTGAAACTAGACTAGAAACAAGAAAGGAGTTGATAAGAGTGAAGAAGGCTTCATTCTTGCCTCTATATATACTATCTACCTATGAGCTATGTGGCGATGTTCCATAGGACCTCAAAAAACATATTGACTTTGCACAACACGTATCTTAACTTGCAAGGCAAGTTTTCTATGTAGATGCCACATAATTAGCTTGTTTTATAAACTACCAATATTTGTGGTACATGGTTAACTTGTTAACCAAGTTTCTAACTTACCAATCAAGTATAAACACATGTAAAGTCAAAGTAGCATCTATAAAGCTTCTAGGAAGCTTTTTTTTGAAGATATTATGAAATTAATCTACTTTATCTACTTCTACCTATTCATATCACTTAGGTAATAATTATAGTAAATATATGTCCATGAAAATAGTTCAATTCGAGCACTAAAGACAAAAAAGGCATTGAATTTTATTATGCTTGCTCAATACCTTTAGCACTTATTTTGTCTCTATCTATTAACGTCCAAGTTTATTAATACAACATAAGTGCTTATAGAAATGGGTTGGATTGGTATAACTTTCAACCCTATAATCTACTTACTTATGAGCCATGTAAATTCTTCAATTGATATATATATACACATATAACTTTTCCAACATTTTAAGATTTCATTCAAAATTTTGATTGAATATTTTATAAGTTATTCAATTATTATTTTATTTTGAAAAACTTTATTATTCTTATATATGTTATGGATGCAAGTTTGTAAATGATAGCAATCAAATAAGAGCTAAAGTCTTAGGCAAAAGTATGTGCCATTGAAGCTTTGTATCAATCCAACTATTTATTTAAGAAGAAGCATGATGTTCTAGATATACATTATGATGAATTAAAAATGAACTTGGAGTCATAGAAGGCAAGTTTATAATTGGAATATGTCTAATTTCCATTCAATTGTATTGATATTTGTGTTGGATTTTGTGATATTTTTTAAGTAAAAATGATCTTTATTAAGTATATATTGATCATTAAATGTCTTTAAATTGCTTTGATACTAAGGTTGTTGGTCAACTTGGTTGTCAATTCCGGCAATGGCATTATGCATGTGGTAGACTTTAATTTCACTTCACTTCATTTATTTAGGACAAAGATGTGCAGTTTTATTCTATATCCCAACTTGTTTTTAAAATGAATCATATTTGGATAAGTCTTTTGTGACACTATTTTCTAAGCATATTTTAATTTTCATTTTACTAACTTTCATTCAAATACCTTGGTGATGTCATAGATAAGTATTGGTAATAGATAGATATTTATTCCCTCATTACATCAATCAATTTAATATTATAAGGTATCATGTTAATTTTTATGTTATAGATAGATATTTATTCCCTCATTACATCAATCTCATACTTTGGCACATATGGATCTTATTTTCTTGAATATTGATGGATGAATAGAAATACTATTTTTGAAATAATTTATAATTTTTTTTTTTTGATTTGTTTTTTTTTTTTTTTTTTTTTTGAAGCTAGTTTGTATTATTTTATATGAATGTGGTCCTATTATACAATCAAAAATCTAAATGGATTTTGATAATTATTATTGATAATTTCTAAGTATACATTCAATAAGACAATAGATTTTGAGATAGTTATGGAGATTAAAGAGAAGCTTTATTATATAAAGTAATCTTAGAATCTTCAATAAACTCATATCTTTTACTGCAACTATCTTACATTAAGTTCGATATATTATGTGTTTGATTTCTTTTTAATGCAATTATCTGGTAGGAGGATAATTAAGATTGATTTAAAATATTTTAAAGCTCCTAAACCTCTCTTTTCACCAATAATATTTGTGGCTTCTTGATTTTGTTCTTGTATCTTTTTATACACAATGTAATAATCTTATGTCCAACATATAATTTGACATAAGAAGTTTTTTTTTTCTTTTATATATATATTTTAACTTTTATTGTTGTGAAATTCATATAAAAATCAATAGACATTAAAGGTGACATATTGATTGATATTGTATTTTATTGTATTTAAGAAATAAATAATAAAAATCATCAAATAAATTTAAATTTTCCAAATAAATATAGACATCTGTAAACTTGTGCAAGAGCTGGAAGAAGATATCTTACACAATCATGATTATGAATCCCCTTTTACATCATCCAACAAAATTATTTCTCACCACTCACATACTAGCTAATCTTCTTATTAAATGAACATCTGTACATAGCATATATACTTTATTATATCTATAATGCACTTATAGATAGTTGTGAATGCATAATAATTCAAGTTGGAAAAATATTTATATTGTGATAATGCTCTTTGCAATTTTGGAAAGCCAAACATTTGTTGCCACTTCAACAACTTTAAATTGTAAGGATATACATTGTGTAGATGATTTGATACCGAATTAGCTTGTACAATTAGGTGCTCCACATGGTAGGCTCTTTGGAAAACTAATTGTTAGATCTTCTAATATCATAGATATCATTACATCTTCAATAATTAAGTACAAGCTCTTTTTTGTTGATGGAAGGGAGAAAAAGGAGGGAAATAAAAATTCAAATGTTTGACCAACAACATTGAAGATAAGATGATGGTCTTTAAAACATGCAAATTTGTTTTGTGGTACTAATGGAGGTTTTAATGTAACATTATTTACCAAATAATATTGAAGATAAAAATCTTCTACTTTCAAAATACCTTTCTTATGTATCATAGTTTGAATCTTATGCTTCCATGATATTTCTAATGTCTTTATCAATGTGCTTGTGTATGGATTAATAAAAAATAACTCTTTTGTACATTTAAACTATTCAAAAATAAGGCTGAGTGTATACATATACTTCTTTTACAATATTTTTGAAAAAAAAATGATATATTGATAATATTACATAAGTTCTTTTTGAACTTTTATGTGCATTAATCTCTCTTGTTGCATTTTCAAAATAATAAGAGAGACAAATTTGTACCTCTTATAAACTTTTGGTGGAAACTTATAGATGCAATTTTAGAGTTGAATGTTGATCCTTAATTTGAGATATAGTCACATTTTTAAAATGAAGATAATTATTTGTCCAAGCTTCAACAAAACATGTTTTTTTTGTCATATCTAGGTATTTTGCAAATATCCAAGAGCTACATAGATAGTTATAGGAGTATACTTAATAGAAAGGATAGTCTATTCTTTATTATAAAGTACCTCAAAAGGAATATTTATTATATTGGTTTAATCTGCAAGAAATAAATACCAACCTATTTCCTATTTAATTACAAAATACTTCTTGTAGTTTGTCAAGATATATTTTTTGAATAAGCCATATGCAAAATAAGACCATAGAAATATAAGAAATATTTTCAAAAATATTTATTAATCCAAAATCTTTATCAAATCCAATGTAGATGGATTGGATATTTTTATATAATTGAATAAGTTGAATTAAGGCCCAATAAAAGCACAATGTTGTTTCTTCTTCAAAAAAAATAATTATAATTATAAAAGAGATATTAAAATTGGTTGTTTCTACTATATGCAATATAGGCATTTTAAATAAATTTATTTTTTATATATAATCTATAAAAATAGAAAAAAATCTCTTTGCTAATTCAACATATTTTACATTTATAAAACAAAAAAGAATTTATATTATTCTCATCATTACATTAATAAGTAAATTGATATATGCCATCTCTTAGAGTTTTTATAAGTGAAACAATAGTAGCAAGACTATCAAGAACACTTTGATGCAATTGTTGGTATTTTATTGTATATGATAAATGTAATAACTTGACTTTTAAGATTTTTCTTACATATAGTAATCATAATGGTTTTTTGGTGGTACCCTTATTACAAACATCTAAGTTGTCAATTCTTTTATTGCTAGTAGGAGTTCTTGTGCAATCAAATATTTTATAAGAGATATTGAAGAGTTGTAATTATATCCACCATTTTGTACTATTAAATGCCATTGTATAGTATTTTGGATATACTATGCATGCAATACAAATGGACACCCAATTAATCCACTTACAATATTTTGTTGACAAACAAGATTATTTTGCTCAATAAATCTTATTCTTTGTCTCATTTAAAATCAATGCAATTTGTGTTAAATTGTGGTTTGGAAATGACATAACCATGAGTATAGACAAATTCACCTATATTTTCTTTCATATCTTTAAAAGAATAAAAAATCCCTTCTACTAGAAGAGATATATGCAATACAATATCTATTATAAAATCCAAATAACCTAAGAGTAGACTTCACTCTCTCTTTCTTTTTAAACACTAGATACAATGTCAAAGATGTTACAATAGTGTAATGCAAAGTTAGCAACAAACCAGCATAATACATAAGAAGATATACCTTTAATAATATAGGATAAAGGGAAGAGACTATTAATTATAGCCATTGATAGTTAGTTATTATTGCTAATAATATGACCATCATTGTATTAATTCCATTTTAGAAAAACTATTATTATTTCAATCCAAATGCAGATGGAAGTAATGATGATGCAAATGAGGCTGACATTCTATATGCTTTGTGATGATGGATGAGTAAATGTAGTAAAACCCTGGATCATTTTAATATTTCCCCATATATATATATGTTTATTTCCCTATATATATATATATATATATATAATTTTGACAATGGGAATCTGAAAAAGAATCTAGAAAAGAACATCAGACGGAACCTGAAAGGGAACTGGACATGGACCTAGAATGGGAATCTGGAAAAGGGAACCTGGAACAATCACATGGATCTGCAGGACACGGAGTCCAACGAGTTGGTGGGGTTGCGTTCACACGGGGGGAGGAGGAGGAGGGGGGGAGGTGGGCTCCCTGGGGGGGGGGGGATACGATGGAGGACCAGGACCCATCTCGCAGCTCCTCCGCGACGCTACCCTTCCTCTCTTCCCTTCACAGTCCCCTCCCCTTCACTTCGTTGGTGTGTTTTCTACCTTCTCTCCTCCCTCACAGGATTATATACACATATTATATTACATTATGTTATGATACTGCATTCTGCTGCAGGGCCGAGGAGGAGGAGATTCATGCGGAGGAGGAGGAGCAGCACCAACTAGATAGATCTACGCCCCCCTCGGGACTTTGTGCACCTGGACAGACAGACAGATAGAGACTCACACACACAGAGAGAGAGAGAGAGAGAGAGAGAGAGAAGTGTGTTCGAATTTGGTTTCTGTGCCGAGGTGGCCATGCTGTGTGTGGGAGTTAGGGTTTAGTAGGAGCGGGTTACGAGTGCTGTGCTGCGAGATCTGGAGCTCGGTTTGAGCAGGTTTGAACAGGTTTGAGCGATGGCAGCGAATGGTGGTGGTGGCGGCGGGGGCGGGGAGGATGGCGGAGACTTGCTGCAAGCTGTGGAGGCGTTCTTCTCTGATACAGAGGATGCTGTGGTTATGGCGTTCCGTGTGGCCAAGAGTCAAGCCTCGTGGAGCGTGGCGGGGCGACGGACGCGCCATAGCACTAAGCCGCGTGTTCTTGCGCTGACAGGTGTGAAATGTGGTCGATTTCTCACGATCGATCGAAGTTTCTCTTTTTTATTACGCTTCACGCTGATTTTACTCGAAATTTTGATTAGGATCGTAGGTTTTGCAATGCTGGTGAACGCCGATATGGCATTTAGTACCCTGCAATGAAGTCTCAGAGAATAATGTGGCTCTCGGTCTTCTATTGACACAACGTTAGATATCTCTCGCCGTCAGAAGAAGCGTTGCTATGAAGCATTTTAATATTACCACCTTGCTCATATCCGTTCCGCGGAGATTTAGTTCAGGTCGGAGCTCGCTCCGTCCTGTGAGTCTCTTCATGTAAGGACCTGCTGCTAAATATTTTGCTGTAGAAAGTTCGTCTCGACCAAATACGTACATTTCTGTAGTAAATGCCGATAGCGTTCTGGATACCGTAACGAAGGCGACCTATTTTGGCGAGTGAAATGTAATAGCTCCAGTTGAATATGTTTTCAGAACTGAGCTGAAGGAAAATTCGATCACGGTTTTGACTGACCTGGGGTGGTCAACCTTGTGAATTTTAATTCCAATTTTCTAGTTTTTTCACCTGCCAAATTTGGCAACGTCCAACTCAGTAAATTCTTAAAAAGAAACCCAAGCTTTACCCGCAGACTTTTAATTACAATTCGGAAGGCTTTTCAAGCTCCATCTAGTTGTCCGGTTATCTTTTGGATGACTTCATGGTTCATGAGATTGGAACTGATGCTCTTTTCGTTTATGAACACTGAATTTTGTGCAGTAATGCGATCAGCAGCTACGCAGAAGTTCAAAGTTAAACTACATGTTTTGAAGCAGACTCCAACTGGTATGCAGGTATGAAAAAGCTGTTCCCTGCAGCAATCCCATCCGAGACGACGCTCGCATTCTTCCCTTGGTTTTAGCTTTCCCTGGGCAGAGTGCCAGCGTGCTTGTTCTGACATGACAACTAGTGTTCATCCTTGGGCTGGTGGGTCCTACGGGACCCTGACATACGGTTTAAAAGAGGATAGATAGAGTAACGAGTAACATAATAAATGCTAGTTCGCTTATGGCTTTTAAATCAAATGATCAACTGATGTGTTTCTCTTGTTAAATGTGCAGTCTGCAAAAATATATAAGCTGAAGAACTTGAACAAAGTGGAAGCGGTGTCTAGTGACAACAGTGGCTGTACATTCGTTCTGGTTCGCAACTTGTCTTCTGTCACACTCTTCTGAAGAAACTGAAGTTTATATTTAGCCTCTCAGATACTTGAATTCCGTGACGTAAGCTGCGGTTCTCTGTCTTGGAGTGTCTAGCTGTTTCTACGTACAAGAATTCGCAGCGCATAGTTGAAATGCCCAAGATGTTTCTGTGGATGTCCTGTTTGGAAATAACTTCTTTTCACCTATCGCTTTGAGCTGGACTGCTGTGCCAATTGCAATGACCTCATGAATTGTGTTTTCTCGAAAATCGTATATTGTAGTCATTTTCTGGAATTTCGAGGACCATCTTATTCTTGAGGATGTAGGAGTGGTAGATGTCTTTAAATTTAAATTACTGATTACCAATGTTCTCAACCTCTCAGAGCGGCTTTGAAGTATTGCATGTGATAAATTTGCGTGTGTGGTGATGTTAGGGCTTCGACAATTTGAAGAACAAACCAGTTGCTCCTCCTCAATGGACTTTGCGCACACGTGATGATAGGTGAACTCCCCATCATCATTTTCAGGCGGATATTTTGGAATCTTTTTCATTTTTCGTTTTGTTTTCTGCAAGATATTTAATTTTTTGAAGAGGTTAACCATGTTACTCCTGCATTTTAAAATATTTAATTTTAATGTATGATTATTTTATTTTTGTCTCGTCGGAACTTTTGGATAGTATGTAATAGCAGCAGTTTCTTGTTATCAATTATAACTACTATGTCAATTCGTAATCTATGAATGATTTCTTTTCGTCTTTTGCTAATATGGCAGTCGTCTTCGAATCTCATGTTTAACTTCCGGTAGGGGTACTTGCTTCTGCCAATTATTTTATTACCAAAGAAAACAGTTTATGTGAATCATGAATTTTCCTGCATTTCAGAAACCACCTTCTTACAGGTATTTTGAAACTCTGTAAGGAGAACCTTGGGCGGGTGCCTAAGATTGTTGGCATGGACGTAGTGGAGATGGCGCTCTGGGCCCAGGTATTGGTCTTCATCCCTTGGATGGGCTGCATAACTTAGTTGCCTGTAGGAATAGCTCAGCTCATTGCGCTTACATTCAGCTTGGCTTTCTTACACTTCAGGGATGAGCTGGTGCTGGTCCAGGGTATTCATTTTCCACCTCAAGGTACTAATTATAGACTAAAATAGACGTTTGACTAATTAATAGTTTTTGAGTGTTTCTTTGTTTTTATACGGTCGTTTATTTACGTTTTACCTCTGTATTTTTGTAGGCAAACGCGAAAACCCTTCCAAGTGAGGGACGGGTTGAAAAAGGTTCTGTTGATACTGGTGTGGAGAAGGGTGGAAAGGTCAGTGTGGAAAGTGAACTTGTTTCGAAAGCTGAAGAAGAAGATATGGAGGCCTTGCTTGGAACGTATGCCTCTTCTTTCTCTTGTCTTCACGATGTTGTCATCTCTTGTGTGAAATCTTTACTATTCGAATGTTTGTGTAAGTTGTCCTAATGCTCAAGTGGATTCTGTTCACACGTGAGTATGCTCTCTTTGCACATCTAATTTGACTGTATGACCTCGTACGATTGTTCACATGACATCTGTATAAAATGGCTTTACAGATATGTTCTTGGTATAGATGAGGCAGAGGCATTCTCTGAGCGGCTGAAACGGGAACTTACTGCTTTGGAAGCTGCGAATGTTCATGCCATTCTAGAGAGTCAGCCTCTTGTAGAGGAGGTGCGCTTAGATCTCGTTGCTTTGTCATAGGAAGTCCATGTTATATTGGAATCTTTCTTGGTTTGGACTATGTGGTTACTGACTATATTTGGAGGGATTCTACATGATGGTCATGGAATCATTTTTTACCAAAATAATTATGCATGCAAAAAGAAGTGACTGGTTTTAGGAAATAGAAATTGGATAGCGCGGTGCAGATAGCTAAGGAGATTTGTTTTACTAAACAGAGAACAACGCCAGAACTTAAATGACGAATTAAGCACTTTAACATGTGCCAAGTTTTATGTGTCATCAGGTTCTGCAACAGCTAGATGCTGCTCAAGGAAGTGTTGAAGACATGGACGAATGGCTTGGTATTTTCAATGTAAAGCTGCGTCACATGCGAGAAGATATTGAATCAGTACGTATATTTTCAGAATCCTATTTCTCTTTTTATTAAGCCTCGTGTAGGAGACTCACATCTGCTGGTTATCTTCATTTTTGAGTGCATATTTAGTGAGTTTTGCATCGACCTAATTTAACCCCTAAAGTTTCAATTTTTCTGCAAATTAGAAGATCTGTATTATTTTACTTTACTTTTTAATGTTTTCTTCAAACAGAAAGAGGTGAAACTTGATGGTGTTAAATTACCTGGTGACATGTTGAAATATTATCATCTATATTTTCAAATCAACTAATAAGTTCAAACTACTAAGTTTTGCTTGAAGCAGTTATGTTACTTTTAGAATGTTTGATTTGGTATGATTCGTTGAGATCGTGTATTGCATAGAACGGTTAAGAACTTTAGAATTTTCACTTCTACATGTACTTTTTTCAAATTAAGAAAATAATAATTTCAAATCAGTTTCATAATTGCCTGCAACTTCAGTCGAGAGGTATGCTGCGAAGTTTCCAATAGACCGTAAACAGAGCTTTGGGGGTTAATTGACATCCAGTTAGCGTTTGTGATGATCTGTTTGGCTAGGTGACTTATTACCAACGCCAAATGGTTTTGATACTCTTATGTGGCCAGTTTAGTTAAGAAGATTTCACCTGATTTATCTTCGCGTGGCAGATTGAAGCTAGGAACAACAAATTGGAGTTGCAGGCTCAGAACAATGCATCTTTAGTAGAGGAATTGAACTCGCTGCTGGAGAAGTTGTCCATCCCTCCTGAGGTACGGGATTGATTAACCTTCATAATTTCGATTGAAGATGTGCATAGAATTGTATCGTTTCCATGCACACTAATGACCCTGCCTCTAGTAGCTCTTTATAATGTAGAATCTAATCACTATTTGTAGACTTCAGTCATTCACTTCAGAATAAAGTGCACTTGTATTTATTTATTTTTCACCCTTCATTAGATTCGCTGATTAAATTTTGGATGGCAGTTTGCAGCAGTTCTGCAGAGTGGAACTTTTGAAGATGCACGGATGCCTCAGAATTTAGAAGCTTGTGATTGGTTAGCTTCTTCTTTGAGAAGCCTTGAGGCACCGTATCTGGATGCTAATTACGTCAACATGCGTGCTGTAAGTTCCTTAATGCTTGAAAGTATAGCTATTTGAATTCCTTCTTGGGAATGGTACTAGACTTGAAATTGTGCATTTATATATTGTCTAAATAAACCTCTGATTTAATACTGTAGAATAATTGATGTACATAATTAACAAATCCACAAGGTGAATGAATTATCATTTGGCAGTAAAATGCTCCTTTCAGCTGTTCTAAGTAGTTAATCATTTACTAAGGAGGAATATGTTACAATAGATTTTACTCAAGAATATGGTCGACGTAGATTATCGATAAAATAATGCTGTCCTATCTAATCATTCTTTCTGTGTGATCGTTATTAAAAAAACCTAAAAAATCATATTTCCTTCAATACCATCGTGCTTTCTCTTTTTTTTTGCAGCAGCTGAATCTAAGCTCTGAATCTACGTGCATGTAGGTCAAGGAGAAACGGTTGGAGCTTGAAAAACTTAAAGCTACTTTTGTGCGAAGAGCATCTGATTTTCTGAGAAAATACTTTTCGAGCGTGGTTGATTTCATGATCAGTGACAAGACTTATTTCTCACAGGTTTAACTCTACAGCACAATCACCGTTTATAAGCATTTTCAGTAACTGGTAGGAAATTTGAAATCCTGATGCTATTATGGAGAAGTCCATAACTTAACTGCAGAGTATAACGAATATGCCAGTGATGGATGATACAGAGGGGACAGTTAAAACGGCCGGATCATGCTGATTTGAGATTTAAATGTCGAACTTATGCTCGAATGTTACAGCATTTGAAGGTAATTGCTTGATGTACACTAAGACACTATCCTTTACATTTTACTGGCTGCGGAGACTCAATCCCGTCGCTTATCTGGATATCATGAACCACTCTTGAGGTCATATGCCTTTAGTGACAACTAGGCTGTATTTTTATCTGCAGAATTTAGATAAGAGCTCGCTTGGACCGTTACGCAAAGCATATTGTCATTCGCTCAACCTTTTACTACGTCGTGAGGTGCGTGATGTGTCATTATGCTGCATCCACTTCAAATGAAGAACCTGTGCAGCTATAATACTTGTATCTTCCTTTATCGTATTGCTCTTTCCGGTTGTGTTGCAATTCATCGCTTTACGATTCTTCAAGTTATATAGGAAATTAAAAAGTGATGTTTTCACGATCAGGCTCGAGAGTTTGCAAATGAGCTTAGAGCTAGTACCAAAGTATCACGGAGCACAGGGGCATGGCTGGAGAGTTCACAAGGTGGTGTGGCACAAGGCACTGGGGGTGCAGATACCTCCACAGTGTCTGATGCATATGCTAAAATGCTCCGGATCTTTATTCCACTTCTAGTAGATGAGGTACGAAAATTCTTTATGAAGATGTATCTATTTCGTGTTTCATTTGTACGTAGCAGTTTATCTGTCTTTTTAAGTGAACTATTATTTCTGCTTCTCTCCAATTTATCAAACTTCTCAATTAGTAACCGTACTGGAACTTATTTAATTATGTATTAACCCCGTGTCAATTAAATCCACTATCTGTTACATGTAACAGAGCAAAGTCAAACAGCGATGTCTCTCTCTTTTACCCCTCTGTGCTGTTTTTTAAGGGTTCATGTTGATCTATAATGACTAAGGCTCATTTCTTCTTTTGTGTAGAGTTCTTTTTTCGCTTCCTTCATGTGTTTTGAGGTACTACCTTTGAATCCTCATGGGGCTGATGAGGACAAGGACGAAGATGGAGATGGCGGTAGTGCTGCCGAGACGAACGGGTCGGATACAAAGTCCAGTAAGAAAATCCGAATCTCAGCTACAATGCCTGAATTCCAAGCTCTTAGCATTTACTTGCTTCTGAAGATTTCTGACCACTTACTTTTGCATGCAGCCGAGCAAAATCCAGCAGAGTTGGAGTCACTGAATCTATCCCTTCAAGAGCTTCTGGATGGTATCCAGGAAGACTTTTATGCAGTGGTGGATTGGGCGTACAAGATTGATCCTCTGCGGTGCATCTCTATGCAGGGTGTGACAGAAAGATACCTTTCTGCCCAAAAAGCCGATGCTGCAGGCTTTGTGAGGCGCTTGCTTGCTGATCTCCAATCCCGCATCAGTTTACAATTCAATCGAGTATGTTCGCTGTCCTGAAGCAACCACTATTTACTTTCAGTGCTCAACATCGATTACTCCTATTTCTCAGATTGACATAAATATTTCTTGATACGAAGTTTCCGTTGTACTGAAGTAGCTCCAGCCTGAGATTAACATTACCATGTTTGATTGTCATAGTTTGTAGATGAAGCAAATCTTCAAATTGAGAAACATGATCGCAATGTAAAGCAGATGGGCGTTCTTTCGTACATCCCCAGGTAAAACTCAGCCATTTCTGCACATTGATGAATTGTCATTCATGTCCTGAAGATTGTCTACTCGTAAGCTTTATAGCTTTTTGGAAGATCAGTGCCTGCATTCCCTGTGTTATTAGCATTGAACTTGTGTTTTAACCAGTGAGATTAATGCTTTGGTCCAACTTTGTTCAATTTTCACTTTGAGAGTTGTTTGGTAAAAGAACATGGAGGTAGTCTTGTTAATCGATTATGTATCAAACCGAGCTGTAGGGACAACGCTTGAAATTGACATGCAAATGTGTTTCATTTGTTGGTTGGATTAGGTTTGCAGCCCTTGCAGGTCGAATGGAGAATCTTATTCAAGGCAATTCGAGAGATGTGGTTGATCAGGCCTATATGAAGCTGGTAAGTTGGACGCACATTTTACAAGTTAAATTTGGGATCTTCAGTTTCGTGCCCATCCTTGGACAGCATTCAAATTGAACTTTTTTGGAATACTTCATGACCTGACTATTTATAGTTGGAATATCTTAGTACACGATGTGTTTCTTTATGGATTCTGCTATGCAAAAGGTACTTCTGATGTTTTGGATGGATTTTAGGTGAATACCATGTTTGCTGTATTGGAACGGATTGCTCAAGTTGATCCCAAGTATCAAGATGTTCTTCTGTTGGAGAATTATGCAGCTTTTCAAAATAGGTTAGTTTCATTTGCTTTTTCAAGAGGGACTCATTTCTTATTATGATCCACCTTAAAAATTTAGCAATCGACTTGAATCCTAGAGGTAAAAATCATTGTGTAAATCATATTGCAGACGTGTAAAAGTTAATTGCCGTTGCCTAGTATATTTGATGTTTCTATTCTGTTGGATTGTTGCACCTAATGGTTTTACAAATTCGGTTATGGTGCAGTATGTTTGACCTTGCAAATGTGGTTCCGACTTTGGCTCGCTACTATCAACAAGCTAGCGAGGCCTACGAACAAGCTTGCACTCGATATATCAACTCAATCATTAACTACGTACGTTTGAAGTGCTGAAGTCAAATTTGCTGATTGAATTATTTTGATGTATTGTAATACACAGTTTCTCTATTTATTGCTTACTCAAATGTTTTTCATGTACAGCAATTCGAAAGATTGTTTCAATTCGCTCAAAAAGTGGAGACTTTGCTTTATACCATCAGTCCCGAGGATGTTCCGATTCAAATTGGATATACAAAGATGGACTTGCGAAAGACATTGAAGGCTAGTCTTTCTGGGGTACGTACGCTGACGTTGTTCTTGAAGCATTTTCAACTAGTCTACATAAAGTGCATATGAAATAGTTGCTTTAACAGCTCCGAATAACATATTTGTTTCGAAAGCCTTTTTTCTATCCTAGCTCATGGTGTCTATGTATTTAACAGTCACCCTGTTGACGACGTTGAGAATAACCTGGCCTTCGACCCTGAGTGTTGAGTGCTTACTCAACTGGAATCAATGGCAATTTTACAGGTAGAGAAGGCCTTACCAGCGATGTATAAGCGTATGCAGAAGCATCTTACCTCTGAGGAATTACTTCCATCTCTGTGGGAGAAGTTTAAGGTTCGTAGCGTTGTCATACTGTCATGATGAGACATTTATGCTTTTTTCTGCGTTGTGGGTCATGTTGCCATTTAGTGCACGTTGACTACCAAAATGCTAGCATGCTTAAAGTTTTAGTGTGCTCAAATCTAGAAATTTGTGTTAAACATGATTCTTTTAGAGTGGCAGCTACATTTCGTAGGATATTTTTTGTGATTTGTTTTTCTTAGCAGCATCGAGGTTGCATGAAATACCTGGATAGAAAAAAGTAAGCATGTTAAGCAGAAAAAAGTATCCATACTGTTATTCACCACGTTGGCACTCACATGAGCATGTTTTGGAATATTACCCAGGAAGATTTCATGGACAAATACGAGTCGGTAGAAGGATTATTAGCGAAGTGCTACCCAACCGAACCACTGACCCCTTCATCAGCTGAGATGAAAGAAATCTTCAAGAACTTCATTTTCTAAGGGGTAGGTTGTAGAATGATGGTCATTTCAGACTTAAGCACTTGTAGCAACGGTTCATTTATCTTTCTCAATCCAAGATTCTTTGAGTCTGGTCAGCGTGAATTAAAAATGCCACCTTCATTTGGAGGTTACTAAATGCATTTGCATCATAGTGTTTCTACAGATTTTTAGTGGCTCTGGAGTGAAGTGAGAAACTTGATAGTGTAATCTAGGTTGACCTGAACGCAGAGATTTTGTAATATGTACAGAATCTAGTTTCAATAATTTTTTCACTTCATCAGCACACTTGCTTTTCTCACCTGTGGACGCCTTGAACAAGTGTGTTTTGGTCCACTGATGTAGTAAGTCACAACCTCTCCTTTGATTACCTAAAACAAGTGTACATTTTCCGAACAGTACTACTTACACACGGCTCAACGCATCTTACCTCGATGGCTGCCGGTAGTGTTCAACTTCTATTGAGTTCCATGCAAGAAAATATGAAGAAGTGTATTGCCAAGCTAAAAGCTTGATGACACAGATACGTCTAGATTCACTATTTAAGTAAGTGCAATTCAATCTAATTAACTACTTGGATGCATCCTTTGCTTTAAATTTCTTGAGACACAAATCATGGTATACTGACATGGATTCTTTCCTGTAACCCCATTAATTACTAGTTCATTTGCCTAGATCCAACTGACGTGTGGATACTCATGTAATCAGTCCATATGATAGCATGGCATGTAACATACAACAATACATCGTCATCCATCTACTCAAACGTTTTTGTATATATAGTTAATTAACAGAGTGTAATACATGATTTATGTATGTATATACACAATAACTATATTAATGCAAGAATTATGTGTACATATATGTATACATACACATACGTTAGGATGCTTGTTTGCCCTCTGCTTATAACCTAAGTAAAGTAAGAAGGTGCTGAGGAGATTTATGATATTATTTGGAGTGTGTGAAACTTTATGTGGGATGTAGACTCTTTGTATTAAGTCAACCTTTTTAGTGGAAATTACCTAGAATAAAATTTAGTCATAATCTTAATATTAGATGATGGTATTTGGTGTGTATATTCTTGTATATTCGTTTAAAAATAGTATCTATAATAAATAAATAAAACAGTTTTTGATTTGAATTTCAATGAGTAATGGGATTGATTTAATAATTCAATTACTTGTTTTAAAATAATGAACATTATATATAATTTATTTTTTGCTTATGACAATAAATGGTCTTGTTTTAAATTTAGGTGTTGTTTTGAAGACAAACTATACATTTGAGTTTGACTTTGTATGTTCCACACAAAAAAGTCTAAGTGGCTTACATGAGTGTTTAGAGTGTTTAAGTGACTGAAAAACATAATGTCTATGAAGCCTATGACTAAATCTAGATGAAGAAAGACAACAATGTAGTTTTATTTAAAATTATTTGATTAGATAGGTGTGACAAAAAACATGTTTAATATGTTTCTTTAAGTGTAACTTTATTGGACATATAATTTTGAAGTAAATAATTATCTAAATCAAAAGAATTGTTGCATGTAAGAATATAACATACAATTTGTATATATATATATATTCTTATTTCTAAAATTTTAAAATTGATTTTCTTGTAGCAACCAACTTTTATTTTCTCTCAATCATAGGATATATGCATAATATATATATATATATATATATATATATATATATTTTTTGCTTATTTAGATCTATGAATAGCTTCTTTTTAAAAAATAAAAATAAAAATAATATAACAATACAATTTCATTCTAATCTATTCATTGGAACATGAAAATGCCATCAGTTTTTTCTCAACTAAACAAAACCAACTTAATAAATTAAAAAAACACTAAAACTAAATCTCTAAAATATATGTAAATTAATTAATATTTAATTTTAGAATAGTGTCTAATTTAGAAGAACCTGAATCCAATTAGTTTAAAAAAAATAATTCTACTAACTTTTTTTAATGTTAGTAAATCATGTGAATAAACATCCCATAATCAATCATTAATTTTTATTAAAATCTTTTGTCTTAGAAATGATACTTCAAAGTAATAAATTAAAATGTGACATCAGTGGCATAAAATATCCATCTCTCTAAGATTATAGCATAGATTTTTAATCCACCTATTAAAAAGATATTGTATTACTAAAACAATTATACAATTTAATGCTCTAGTTTCTATTACAATTGTTGTTTTTAATAACTTAACAATATACACCTCCAACTATTTTTTTGTAAAGTTTCAATTTGATATTAGCTAATATTCTTCTTTAACAATGTATAGCCATTGCAAAGATGTTTTTATTATATCTTTGTTTCCAACTGTTGCTAAAACTTTGTATTATATAATATGCAACTGTTTTTATAATATTTTGATTATAATTTTTTTTTACTTTCTCATTGTATTTTATTAAAGCGGTATAAAAAAAATGGAATTAAATGCAATTTTTTTATATTACTCAATTTTCTTAATACATAAACAGCACTTCTTCTTAACAAATCACTTTCTACTTATAATGCAAAGTAATTTGCATCTCTTTTTCTTATAGATTTTTTATGGTAATTTTAGAAACTCCAAATGATGTAAATAAAAGCCAAAAACTGTGTCTATATAAGATATTGTTGTCTTGTATATGATTTAGATTCAAATACTATAGCATTTTAGTTGTTGTTGCAAAGTTGATGTACAAAGATCAAATCCATGATAAGATGTTATAAAATTAACTGTTACTATATATTAATTGATTATAACATCCAAAAATGATTTGTTTTATGCAAACGATTTTTAAAGTTGCATATAGTAGTGAAAATAATTAATTATTTTGTTAACTTTCAAGATTAATATTAAACTTTTTAATGCCAAAAATAAAAGCTTAATTGCAACAAACATATGTGACACTATATATATATATATATATATATAAAATAGAGTTTAATTAGTTTTAAGATAATTAAATTAATGTATTTTTAATGATTTTAGTAATTGTATAATATTTATTTATTGGAATCTTATGAAAAGATTCAGATTTTATATTTGTCATTTTTTTACAAGTACACAATAGTGATCTAATTTTATTCATTTGCACGACATTTACTTCACTTCACATTGTGCAAGGTAGAAAAACAGTTGTGACAGATTTTAGAATTATTTTTGGAAGAGCTGATTTGTTGAACAAAAGCTGCTTAATCAATGAAAATGAGAAGAAAACCAAAAAGACCTTAAGTCCTACAATTTCTATTACTGAGGGTGGAGAGGGATACATTTTTGGTTTAGCAACTAGACATAGATACTATTTCGGAGACAGATTTGTCGGTAATTCCAAGTAGACATAGTATGTCTTCTCAATTAGTGTCCACAATGGCGTTAATTAACCACCACTTGCGTGTGATATCAAGATCTTGAGAAATAATCTCAGGTTTCCCGCTTAGAAGTTATAATGCCTGTTTCACTTCCAGTGGGGTCTCCTCCAGGATTACAGAAGTGGACGCCATTACAATATGTGAGATCCACGTCTAAATTAGTGTTTGCTTCACTTGTCAATGATAGACTTTTTGGGTTCACTTCTCACGCCTCACTTTCGACTGTTTTCAGTGGTGCACATTACATTGAATAGAAAGAATAGGCCGTTGTACTTCAATCTAGTGTCAACAACAGTCTAGAATTAGTAATTCTCAATGAGCAAAGCTGCACATTTGAGCTCAATGTTTTTTTTTCTTGTTTCTTCTCAAGCAGCATGAGGATCCAGATGTCAGTGATAGAACCGTGACCAGCGTTCTAGTTGATGACACTATGCACAGTTTCTGAACATGTGTGATCTCATTATACTGGTCGGGCATATAACTGTTGTATGATTCAAATGTGCAGATTGGTGTGATGGTAACGACGAGTAAGAGAATCAAGTCCATTGATTGTAACGCGTGTGGGAGAGTTACCGAACCAGGCGGGAAAATTGAAAGAAGGTTCAAGTCGGTAGGAAGTGGGTTCAGTTGGATCAGTCAGCAACTTCGGACACACAAACAACGTATTAAATTCGCTTTCAGTGCAACAGGAATCGATATATGGCCTGACTTACCTCTACACACTCACAAGTGTCGTAGAGTCTTTGCTTGTTTACGATCTTCACAAGCGACCAGAAAGGATTTGGTTACAGTGTTACCTTTTTTCTGGAAGTCGGTCACTCCAATATGATTTTCACATGGTTATCCGATGAGATTATGTTGGTAATAATTTATAAAACTTGTGGGCGACAATGCTGCGACGTGAGATGGTGTGGTGCTGCAGGACTGAAAGCAGTAATGCTGTAATAACAGTGTGGATGTGAAATCGTAATTCGATGCCATTTCCAATATGAAGAGTTCACAGTACATCTAAACGAGTGCAACAAAGTGCACAGAATGTGTATCCACGTTAAAGTGTATTGCTATAGTGGACCAAGCATTTTCATATCACACATTGCTCAGAAAGCATGCAAACATTTCAAATAGGGTCACTTATTGCGTGAAGAAGGCAAATGACGGTGTAGAAACGCAGTCTGCTAGACTCCAGATCTCAAGCAAAACTCCATATGAAATGGGTTTTTTCAGTTGTTTAGTGATGGGGTTGGTTTACAGTGCAGCATTTTTCTTTTAATTTGTTTTCTTTTTTCCTCTTTCGGTGAATTTTATCAAAAGGTCGGAACAAATAGAGTTTACTGGAGTTGTGTAACCAGCTCCAGTAAACTCCAGTAAACTCTATTTTCGATTCCAAATGGATGAGCTTACTAACGAAATTCTGTGGTGATACTTATAAAACTGTAGATGGGCAAATTGAGAAGGTTGAATTAACTATGAACTGGCTAGTAACTACATTATAACTAACCTTATCAACCCATGATCCACAATCTCAAGATTTTCATTCAGTGTGGTAATGAAACCACTTCAAGTTAGAAACATAACATTTATGGAAATGCATGAAACATTGAACTTCAAACAGATAAATATATAATAATTTCTTAAAAAACAAAATATCTGTTTAATGAGGGAATATCCATAAATAAAATAATTTAAATTTGATAACTTTAAATATATCCATAAATAACATAATTTTTTAGTAGAGTCAAATACATGCATTTTTGACAAGGTTGGAGATTTAAGATTATTATTTTTTATATATTAATAAAATTAATTAGTTTTGCATTTTAAATTAGAGACATTAAAATTATTACTTTCAGTTAAAAAACTAAGCTAAATTCGTAAATATAAATATAGTTTAAAGAGATTTTTTTAAAGATATTAGTTGATAAAATA